CTTTCCTTTCCTCTCCTCTTCTTTCCTTTCCTCCCCTCTTCTTTCCTCCCCTCTTATTTCCTTTCCTCTTCTTTCCTTTCCTCACCTCTCTTCTTTCCTTTCCTCTCCTCTCCTTTCCTTTCCTCCTCTCCTTTCCTCTCCTCTCCTCTTCTTTCCTTTCCTTTCCTCTCCTCACCTCTTCTCTCCAGCAGTTCAAGTCAATCTACTACATACATCTACGTCACGTAATATCACAACTGTATTCTAATAATAATAATAATTAATAATAAAAATGTACGACATAATTCAACATACGATTGTTCTCCTTAATATCGAAATATTAAATATACCATTATTACTCGTAATATCACAACGTTATTGACATGCATTTAATACACGTAACACTTTAGCTTTAGCTTTTAGCTTTCTGGAAATATCGGAACCTGTAACGTTTTTTTCCACGTAAAACTACAAGTTTATATCGTAAAACTGGAAGATGTCCGGTTCTCATTCACAAACCTTTACAGGTAATAGAATATGAATTAAAATATATTTACTATTAATATAATTCAACAAGTGTTTTCACACACACAAACGTGATTTAATTAGCCAAAAGTTAAGGCGTGTTAACGTCCCTGACCTCAGGTACGAGTCCTGCTCCGACAGCACTCCTGTTGGGTCGTCTGCTCCGGCATCGTCCGCGTCCAGCAGCCGTCTCCTCTCGCTGTAAGGGTCCATCAACGGTGGCACAAAAATATTTACTTCCACGTTCAATGTGTTTGCATTTGTCACGAACGACAGACTGGTTCGCTAACAAAACAACAAGACAACATTAGCTTCTGTTGGTTAGCGCAGAAAAACCGACCAGAACCGCACGGTCTGACAGTCAAGGACCTGATGTGACCAGCGTTTCCCGCACTGGTCAACTCATTTGTCCTTTGTCAACAATCACGTCACCTGACCTGTGAGTTTTCTAGTTTCCGGGTATGTTGTTTCAAAATAAAGCACCAACTGTAGCCGTTAACCGTAAAAATAATGGTTTCGTTCATTTACACTCGGCAAGTTACTTTGAAAAAATTAAAACGGAATGACTTTAAACATGTTACTTCAAAAACGGAATGAAATTTGTTTCGATAATTGCTAGTCGATTTTAACTATTTAACGTCAACATGTTTTAATCTGAAATGATTTACCTTAAAGTAGCGTCAGATCCGGATATGCGATGTGTATATGTTGTTTTCAAGCTGCTTTCAAAATAAAAGTGTTTCCGCTCAGTGAAACTTGGTTTATTTTATTTATTATTTTATTATTGTTATTAAATGCATTTGGCAAAGTTACGGTTTTTCTTCGGAAAAAGAAATATCACGGCTACTTTGTAAACACAGACAAACGATTTGTTTTTTAAAATTCATATTTTCAAATATTATGAAGTATTTACAAGATCGTAAGGTATTTCTTCCAGTGTTTCACACGAGTCCAAATCAACTCACGAAAGACACTTTCTCCATTTTTTTAATTTACATATTTATTTTTTACCAATGTAAAAGCAACAATTAAAACAAAATTTTAAAAAAAATTCCAATGATGTCACGGAGTAGCTGTAAAGTCTCCATCCCAGGACCATCGCCAACATCTGGACCAGGTGTGAGCGTCACCTCTCCGTGGGGGCTGTTATGGATGCGAGGCAGCTGAGCACCTCAGGACTGCAGCAGCTGCTGTCCCCCTGCTGGAGGACAGGCTGGAAGAAAGGGGCGGGGGGG